CAAACCTTGTTCCAAATCTTTGTGGAACCATTAATGCCATTCTCAGTTTGGATATCAAATCAAGAGGGTTATCATAAATCCCTGCAACTCTAGCGCTATTTAGGTGAAAAGTACTTAGACATTTTTTTATTTTTTATTTTTTTTAGCACATTCTCATCTTCCGAGTTTAAACCATGGACGCAAAAATAAAAATTATAGCTCACATTAAAAAAAAAGTCTACTTGGCTCGCATTTTTCCACTGGGAAAACGTAATCCTTTCCGCGGCGCTATTGTAATTTATCGTACAAGTTTACTTAAAACGTCTCATTGGTTCGACCTTACAAGCGTTTGACGTTCATACATATTGCCGCCTCGATGCCAGTGCGTCCGTTCATCCTTGCAGCCATCCGTCGCCGCCGCCGCTGCAGAGCAAGCATCTCTTTGTTCTTTCAATCGCTACATGCCCCAAGATCATCATCATCATTGTGGCTAACGCGAAATACTTGCGCGTTTGGTTAAATGGTCGTTTTGGTCGACATGGTTGGCTCAGCGCAGAAATTGAGACATCAACAACTGGTCGGTGATGTCGGTAAACGGGTTGGGTTGCACTGCACAGAAGAGCTGTTGGTTGGTGCATAAGCGGCAACCAAAACTGGACTGTTGCATTTGCTTGCAACGGCTGATTTTGATGTTCTATTTATTGTTTTAAATGCTAATGGTGTTGTTGTTTTAGTTGTTGTTTCATTGCCGAATGCACTTTGTTGCAATTGTTGGCCGCTGAAAGCTGTGTGTTGTTGGTCCAGCCGCGGCCCAGTGCAGCATCATTGAAATATATGGGTATGTACATATGTAATATGTAATCGGCATACTAGGGTGGTCCAAAAACAGTAGTAGGATTGTTCTATATCGAAAAAAGTATACCCCTATTTTTTTTTGAAATCAAAACATATTTAGAGGTAGCTCAAAGCGCTCAAAGTTTTCCATGTATTTTGATATGGGAAAAATAAAATTTTTCGTAGAAATGGTATAGAATTCTTGAAAGTCAATATTTTTCGATCAGAAAACTCTAGTTCTCTTCAGGAGACTTTCAATAATAATACCCAATTATTTATTTAAACATTTTTTAACACTAACGATTTTTTATTGGTCGCCCCATTGCATTTTTCGGGGTTTTTGTGGGTTTTTTGGCGGACCTAGAAATTATAGTTGCGATGAAAAAATGGTTAAATAAACAATTGGGTATTATTACTGGGAATCTCCTGCAGATAAACATAGTTTTCTGGTAGAAAAATATTGATTTTTAACTATTCGATACCATTTCTACGAAAAGTCGTTTTTCGCCATATTAAATACATGGAAAACTTTGGGCGCTTTGAGCGACCTCTAAATATTTTTTGCTTTCAAAATAAAAAAATAAGGGTATATGTTTTTCGGCATAGAACAATCCTTGAGGGTTGGGAGCATAAGAATGCCGATATTACTTTTCCCCACATGCATTTTTGGACCGCCCTAATGCATACACACACAGGCAAACATATCCCAAAGCACTTTTACATACATTTACTAAGTAAGTATGTATGTACGTGCTTCTCCTCGTTTATTAATCCAAATGCTTTGATCCACTCAACTCAAAGCTTCAAGTGATCTTTACATTTTCAAAGTTGTCCACGTAACATTGACGTTATTTATGGCCAATCTGGAATATTTTACAAACCAATAAACGTACCTGACAAATGTACATAACTAAACAAAACTCAACCAAGTATATGGCAACAACGACAACTGTCTTAGCTTAAACTGAAATGAAACTGAAATTTCGTTACGTAGTTGTTGTTGCTGATTTTACATATACATATTTTGCCTGATTATGGTTGCCTTTGGCCGCTTGTGCGTTAAATTTATTACTAACGACAGTTTTGTAATCCTATTCGAGTCCTAGTTAATATGTAGTACAATTTTTGCTTGTGCAATCACTTTACTCGGTACACATTTACTTTGCACATATTCTGCTCATTACGTAAAATTATCATTATGATGTCGTGTTCATTATCGGACGAGCTGTATTTTTATAATTTGTATTAGTCTGATATGAAAATTTTCCACATCCGGTTGGAGGCATGCCAACGTAAGCTTTTAAGTGATATTTATGTAGAAGAAAATATCTAATTTTCAGAAATATTCGTTGAAAGCTTTTGAGGCATGGAATTTAAAAGGTTTTGAGGTTGGTGATTACGATTTTGAATTCAAAATTCAAATTCGATGATTCGTTATATTGCAAAAAATTTTTGAAAAGGTCATTCGACCTTCGTAAGATCGCCAATGAGTAGGATATAAATTTCCAGAGTCATAAACTACTTAGCAGTGTTTTTTTAATGAAATATATATATATATATACTAGAAAAGTCAGTTACTGTCGAAATTCGGCCGTTTTTTTCTAGTTTTTCAGAACTTTGGAGAGATATTTTAAATACTTACCGGAAAATCTCTTGCTTTGGAACTAAAGCGTGACTATAATTTTTTATATATTTAAAGGCCTTTGTAGGACTTTGGTAGGATGTGGAATTGCCCCTATAAATTCCAGTTTGTCGATAAATTTCTATAATTTGATACATATCGATAACTTAATGAATTTTAAAAACACTAAAATCCGATAACTCGACTCATTTTCGATAAATTTCAATAATTGTGCGGTTCTTGAGCTTGAAAAATTTCGATAGCTCAAAAATGTATAAATCGATAGCTCGATAATCTTTTAATACCCCAGAAAATTTCAAAACTTGGTTAAATTATCTATGAATATTTATTTTTATTTTCACTTCATAAATTATTATTTTCCATTATTCTTGGTGTAGGATTACTTGTAAAACTTAAATTTAACCCTCCCCATACAGAGAACCTTCAAGCCTAAAGTATCGATATAATAGGTATCAATACTTAAGATGCGATATTTTTGGAGTATCGATACTACTTTCAAGTAAAATTATCGGTACCTGCATAGTATGTAGTATGTATATATCTACAACCATAGGTAGTGATGGACAAAGAACTTTTTTGCAGTTTCACCGACGTATGCCGTCGGCAAAAGGCGCACAGATGTAGTGTCATTCATTCTTTCAGCCAACGGTTAGGCCGGTTTCTATCAAGTTATCTCCTCCAGCAACCTTAACCCCCAAACATTGTTAGTTAAATATATTTTGCTTGACATTTTCCCCCTTATAGGCTCGCCTGATTTGTATGCAAATCAAATAGCGTTGTGAACTTATACGACACCCAAGCCAATTGAAATAAATTTTAACTGTTTGTAATTTTTTCTTCAAAAAAGCTTTCTCTTTTATTATTTTTTTTATGTTTAATATGATTTTGTTGTTTTATTAAATATTTAATTTAATATTTTTATGTGCACGACTTGTTTTCTCTCACTTACTAATTAATATAATATTACTATGTATGTAGGTATTTATGCATGTTTATAACTAGATGTACATATATGTATATGATAAGGAGGTTCTTTACATCTGTACATACATATATGCATTTTCTTTAAATTAATTTATTACATTACTAAATAAATATTAAATTTTTTCATTGTTGTTTTTTTTTTTTTATTAAATTATTTTCTGCATTCATAGAGTGTATTGAAATGTATTCACGAGTAAATCTTTGATAGCGCCAAATTCCATTGGCTTCATAATACATACAGTATATCTTAATTACATGATTAGTTTAAACAGTGTTTTGTTTATTAGCGGGACTACATAAATACATATACATATACATATATACAGCTACTTAATCAGGACGCTAATTAACTAACAAAACAAAGTTAACTATACGAAGGAGTGTAAGTATGTACAAGATAAGAGATTATTTGGATGTTTTTTTAGTGACTTTATTGTTTTGATTTATTTATTTTTATTTTTTGCCTGAAAGATTTTCTGTAATTGTTTCTTAAGCTATTGTTTTTTTTAAGTAAAAGTTTTGTATGCATACGTTTTGCTTATAGATTTTGCAAGTTTACATTATTTTTGGGTGTTTTTTTTTTTTGTTGTTTGCTAACAATCGCAACGAATAACCATGACGTTTTCATAAATTTTTTAAGCCTTTGTCTTATTTAGATATTAACTTTTCGAGAAATATTTAGTAGTTTTATTTTGAAACACAAAAACAATGGTAAAGCATTTTGATAATCAGAATTGAGGATAAAGCTCAAGAATTTAAATAGTTTATTTAACCTTTTAATACACATTTGGGGTATTCACAAGGGTGTTGCAAGTGTCGTATTGTTGCATTTCGTAAACCTCCAAATTGATCGCCATACATTAACTGCTGCCTCGCATTTGCTCAGATGTAGCTTTGTATTATTGAGCACATTCCGAAGGCTCAGTAACTGTTGCGATTGCACTTTCTGTATGGGTTGTTTTGTACTTCTCAACGCAAAAGTTGAGTGTTGCAGATAATCGTAATTATTTAACTTGAGACAATATGTAATCAAAGTTTTGAGTCGTTTGGCTCAGTAAGTTAAATTTGTTGAGCACACCAGCTCTGAATATTAATTTTAAACTTTACGACATGAGACAATACGGTACTTACGGTACCGGTGTGAATCACCTAATTAAGTTTTCTCAAAGTTTGTGAAAAACTTTTTACAGTTTTTTTTTTAAATAAAAATAAACGAGAAATCTGCCGTTAATGGATTAAATTGAATAAATAAATGAATACGCTGAAAAATCAATACTTTACGAAATAAAATTCAATGAAAAAAGTTTAACAAACTGAAAAGGTTAACAAAAGCATCTGCGGAGATTTTTTTTAACAGCATACCGAGTTTTTTTTATACATATTGTAAAATTATAACTCAAATTATTTGGAAAAAAATGTAAGAAAATTTTTTTTTTTAATATTTGCAAAAAATACGAATTTTTATTTCAACTGAGTTTATGCGTGTGTCTATTTTTGGCTTTTTATAAACAATTATTTCATTGCTAATTTTATGAAATATATATATTTTTTTTAGATTTTATTTTAGTTTTTCTTTTAAATTTATTTCTTTATATACATTTATTTACAGTTAAAATGTAAAATGCGCTAACATCACAGCAATTTGGGTAAGTAAAACTACAAATACAAACAATTGTATTTATAAATTATAAACTAAGGTTAGCAGTGGGATGCCTAGACGCCGCTAAAGCTGCAATGCAAACTAAAAAATTATTACACATTTTCGTACATATTGCGTTTGCGGTCTCTAAAAAATTCACTGTAGTAGTTCTAAACTGAAATCTTTTCCAGCGCATAGAGTCTTTGCCGATAGCGAATTTAAGAATCCCACTGCAGCTTGCGTATCTAATGAAAAATTGTGTGCTTGTGCATGTCTGAACTGGGTAAGTGAACTGCAACATGACTCAGAGTGTATACATATGTATGTGTATATGTGTGTGTATGCGTGTGTGTGTTGCGTTCAAGGAGCGATCACTGCAGTTGAATCCATTTTTTTTTAAGGATTTCTTTTGCAAATTCAAATCACTGCATGCTTGCACTGCCTTTTTATCCCAAATGCATTAGACTCGGATGAAAGTAGCCGGCCATCGCCCATTGCGCGCCCGGTCCGCCACGTCCCAGTGCAGCCATTTTGATTTTCTCTATTTCCGCTTCTTGCAGCCGTTTCGCTTTGGCGCGTCGATTTTGAAACCAAATTTTCACTTGGGTTTCGGTTAGCCGCAGAGATGAGGAGAATTCAGCACGCTCCGCTATGCTCAGATATTGTTTTTCGCGGAATTTCTTCTCCAGTGAGAGTAGCTGTTGAGTGGTGAAAGGTGTGCGGGGTTTGCGATTTGGTTTATGTTTGCGCAGATTACATTTGATGCGTGGCGGTTCGTTGTTGTCTGGAAGAAAATGATAAAGAGAAAACATAAAATATTAGATTTGGAAATTTACGAGGCTTACATTTGAATTGGATCAAAAAATTAATTAGTAAATTTTAGCGCGAAAATGCCGAAGTGGGGAAAATTTACATAGTTTTTGCTTTTTGTTTGTAGGCAATGAGAGAAAGTGAATTATTTTTAGAGAGCAGAGAAATCCAATGAATTAATGAACTTAAAGCATTCTTCTGACAACAACGGCATAAACTAAATTATGATATGTAAAAATCTTAAGCCTTTGAAAAATTAAGTAAAGTTTACGTTGACATTGCTTTAAAAGAAAGTCAGTGCAAACCTCAAGAAATAGGTTTTTTGAAAGTCCACGCAGGCAATTTTCATACCGCAAAGGACCTTTGGACACTCCACAATGAAAGCAATGAAAATGCGTTGGATATTCTGGCAAAGAAAACAGGCAGAATGGACAGAAATCTTTAAATACAATGCCTATGTTTGTTGAAGGCATACATATATTCAACTCTCATTTTGTTTATATAAATGTACAATAAAAATAAATGAATTAAAAAATAAATTAATTAAAAATAAAAAAATATCCGTACACTTGCCGATACCAGTAATTCAAATTAAACTACGGTATTCGCAATTACATATGTAGGTGGTAGCCAGCGGGAAACACAAATTTATAAATTAGATTCTCCATAACAAAAATCCCTTGTAGCATGTTTTTCTGCAAAATTAAAGCACTTCTTTACTACACTATAGAAAAGTACTAGGAAACCTATTTTTGTAATTTGGTAAACTCCAAATTGATTTTGGACCCATGGTTTCTTCGGCAAATTTTCTTAGAATCACACATAGAATTCTGCTGTGCTATATGCGCATAGGCAAAAAAATCTCCCCATACAAATCGACACGCCCTTTTGTGTAGTCCATACGCGCGGAAGAAGTGATAGTTCTTCACTTTCCTATGTCTTTATAGTAATTTTCAACATCCATTATCTCCATCCTCATCTTTATCTTCCGATTAAAATTCATCCCTATCTTCATCTTTACTTTCACCTTCACTCCATCCTCATACTTGCGTCGTTGCCTTTGTTTTTGTTTTTACCGCTGTTTTTATCCTTATACCTATCATTATCTTTGTATTTGTCTATATGTATGTATATCCTTGTCTTGGCCTTTGGCACTCCCCGCCCCTAGTGACGTTAAACGCAGCGTTTCGTTTTCTGTCCCGCATTCGCTATAGTTTATCCCCTTCACCGTCCGAAGTCGATTAAGAAATGCCAACAATTCTTTACCTTATTCGATTTAATTTTTTTATATTGTTATAAATTTAAGTTTTTAAAAATTTATTTTTAATCAATTTATTCAAAAAATCTAACATTTATATTTTTTAAATAGTTCTTATTTCATGTTTGCTGTATTGAGACCAAATATTTTGTTTTGCTATTTTTACCAATTTCGATTTTTCTACGTTGTGTGCGAATATCGTACTTCTGTAAACGAAGATTTTTTATAAAATTATAGCATGAAAAAAGTTTTTTTGTTTAATTAAAATTTATTATTTTACGTGCTTTTGTTAATTTTTTTAATTAATTTTGTTAAAACTTGTTTATGTTGTTTTATTAAAATAAATTTTTTTTATTGAGCTCTAAAAAGTGGGCACAATTTAATGTTTGTTGAAAAATATTTAAAACTTGAGATTCCTTGTAAAATACCTGTTTAACCTGAATCGATTCGATTTGGTTTACTTTCTCCAGCTTCTTACTAATAAACTTATCGCATATCGTCATCCGCATGCCAGAAACATGAATGTGTAAAAATAAAAATTTTGAAAAATCAAGTTTTAAGTTTTTTTTTGACGAGACTTAACTCTGCATTCGCGTATGCAATTGACATTTTAAAATATGTGCTTTCCGTGTATGCAGGTTATTTTGGGGTTTGCTATAACATAGAGCATTCAAAGGTTAATAAAATTCAACCCAATAACTCAAAATTGGTAAATTTGCACATTCATGCTTCTGGCATAAGACCGAAGATATGTATGTATGTACCTTTTAATGGGCCTTTGCTATTCCACACAGTTCAATGCTCTCTCCAAAACAAAAAAAAATAGGCTACTTAAACTCTAGCCCCACCTTAATTTGAAACAACTTACAAAAACGAAGTAAAATAAAATCGAATGCAAATTGGCAAACACTTTGCATAAATTTTCTGCAGCTGCAACAAAAACCAAGTCAATTAAACAATAGTCGTTCACTAATAGCTTTTAAGCGGTGCACAACAACGAAAACTGTCAACTTTGCTTATGGTGGATACATATACATACATAGATAATATTTGTTGAAAACAAAAAAAAAACGAATTGAATAAAGCGAAAATTGCTTAACAAATGAGCGCTGTCAACACTCAACAAGCGCTTTAAGCTACAAACTACTCGAAACAATACTAAAAATAAGCAATCAATTAAAATAGCAGTGTCAGTCAACAGCCA